GATCCCGAGAGGAGAATGGAGGAGAAGGGATTGCGGCGTGGCCATCCCCCTGGGGGGTGATTTCTCGCCGCTTTCTGTCTCTGTGTCTGTCTGGCGAGCGCACGCGCCCTATAGCAAAAACCTCTCCAAAAAAAAAAAGATCTATCTGACATTTGTTCCAAAATACAAAGATAATATGCCTGACTATGATTAATGATACACAGGAAATATAACTAGACATGTATCAAGTAATAGCTGAGGCAGGGTGATGTAGAGCTTGATATACTTTTTTATTTAAGCTTTAAAAAAAAAAAAGTAAAAATAAATAGATAAAATAAATCCTTTCATCAAGTTCAACCTCCAGAACTGCATTAGCTAGTGCTGGATTCTCAACATGGCTGCCCACGGTTTGAGTCCTGGATCTGGCAGCCTGTGTGCACGTGAGCCCAAAATCCCAGGAAGAGAAGGGATTGTGGTAGCTATCCTACCTGGAGGGTGATTTCTCACTTTTTCTCTCACTGTCTGTCTCTTTATGGCGAGCGCAAACCCTATCGCAAAAACCTTAAAAAACAAAACCAAAAATCTCTATTAGCTGGTAAATTCTGGTATAATAAGCTTCCCATAATACAAGAAGTCATTAACCTTTTGGAGTACTTATTCAGAAGCACAACTGTATAAAAAATTTAGATAAGTTTGTCTTTTAAGAGATTTTTGTTACAGGGCATGTGCTCTTGCCGGAGAGACAGAGAGACAGAAAGTGAGAAATCACTCCCCAGGGCAGATGGCCACACCACAATCCCTTTTCCTCCATTCTCCTCTAGGGATTTGGGCACGTGCACACACGCGCCTGGTGTGAGTTTCAAGTCACTGGGTCCAGGACCCGAACTGCAGTAGACTATGTGGGAGTACAGCAACATAACCATTACATCATTTGCTGGTTTCTAGATGAATGTTTTAAATCAAGTATTAACAATAGTCACAATGAAATACAAAAAGGAAAATAAAAATAAAAAACTTATTTAACTGAAGTATTTGAGAGCAATGAAGGTTATAATATTCATGGCATCCCTTGTAATTTTCATAATGGCCAAGTTTGATGCTTTGCTATTAAAAGAGGTATCAATTATGTACTTTCAAAGTGACATTTGATGCTTCCTATGACATCTGAAAGAGTTGGATGGTTTATTAGAAAAGAAAAATCTCAGGGACAGTGCCCTATTTTAGTAAGGATGCTAGACCTCACATGAGTTTGAGTGTGAGTCAGGATCAGCTTGAATTCTGGTCCTGATGGTTTAAAAAAAAACAGTGTGAGAGCATGACCCAAATCCTGACAGGATGAAGAAATGGAGAAGAAAAGGTTGCCTGAGCACACCTCCTTGGAGGTGGGGGTGGGAGCTGGGTACTTTTTCTATCTCTAGAGGTCATGTGCCTTCTGGCAATTTAAACATAAAAGATTTGAAAATCTATTTATTATTATTTCCAGATAGCTCTACCAAAAATGAGGCTACTCAAAAATGTATCTATGAAGCGGCACAGAATACTAAGGCTTCCCCAGTGAGCACACTGTTTACTCTGTGTTAACACTGTTCTTTCTGCCAGTCATGGGAGTGCTTGAAGGGCTGCTGATATGACAGTGTGCTCTAGGAAACAACAGGCGTCTGACCCCCAACATGTCTGCTTCAATCAGAGCAACTTCAACCAGTAAAACGTAAATTAAATAAATGTTGGGATTTCATGGAATTTCAGTTTAATAATAATAATAAAAAATTTAAAAACCATATCCATAGTATTAAAAAATATCCATACCTATACAAGGCTTAACATGCTGAAAACAGGCTTTTGTCAGGTCACCTAATAGAGCAAAAGAACTCTGTCGAACTTCTGGCATTTTATCCTGTAAGAAATAAGAAGAAATTAACCCCAACGTGATAGAGAATCAGGTTTTAATTCATTTAAATCCTCCAAGTCTCACCTGCATGCATTGATACATTAGTGTGAGGATGTTACTTCTGGCTACCAGCTGTTCAATGTTGCCTCCAAGTCCTTCTGCCAGGCCACTGAGTAAATCAAGAGCCACTATCATAAAATCTTTATCTGGAGCTTCATACTGATCTGGTTGAGCATTGTTCAGCTGAAATTAAACACAATGTCTTTGACAGTCTGCTTTAATCAATTACTGAAAAAGTTTGTACACATTATACCTATTTTTTAAAAAAATGTTTATAATGCTAAGGGAAAAGTATTAAAAAAAAAATACCATGGCTTGTGCAAGAGTCTTCTGTACTAGGTTTACACAACGCTGATATACAGGTTCACAGTAAGGAAGAAAGCCAGACTGCAGGGCTGTGGCAACGGATGATAGGCACTAGGAAGAATAAAGTATACATGCTCAATTATTTAAGATTATGATCAATATTTGAAACTGTACTCAGTAAGATCTCGGGCATTTATCAATCTTCTTGATTAGTCTAAAGCAGCAGGTTTATCTTTTAAAATTTATTTTTCAGTCGCCATTCATTTTTAGTTTGTTAGCCAATCAATGAAGAGAGGTTTATTCAGAAGAAAATGTTAGTAAGATTTTATAATGAGTACCATCCTTCGAGGACAGACTACAGTGTATTCATAATTTTTCCTCAAATTTAAGAGATACATTTATTAATGTTCCTATCCTGCTGACAATGTGTGTGTGGACTCACTGGACACATTCTGAGACCCTGGTCTGAAAGTCAACATACACACAGACACCCTTCAAACACCCTACAGTGAGCTTTGAACACAAAGGTTTGACCTTTAGGGTCCACTTACATGCAGATTTTTTTTTTTTTGCAGAATACTATAAAGTTATCTTCTCTTCCTAGTGACTTTCTCAGTAACATTCTCTTTTTTCAGATTACATGAATTTAAGAATACAGTATATAATACACATAACACAAAATATGTGTTACGGTCAATAGTAGGCTAAGAGCAGTTACGTTTAGGGGAGTCAAAAGTTGCATGTAGGGGCTGGCAGGTGATGTGGTTATAAGGCACTGGCTTTCTCACTTTCCCTTCCTCTGGCTCCCTTTGGTCAAAGCAAAAAAAAATGATGAAATTAAATAATTTTTTTTAGTTGCATGCAAATTATTAGCTGCATGGGGGCATTGGACCAAATGCTCACATTGCTCAAGAGTTAAACTAAATAAATACATAAGATGAGCCACAATAATTTTTCTTGTTTTGTCTGGCACAGAATTAGACAGTGCTTGTAGTTACAGAAGGTTTTACTTTGCCAGATATGGATAATCCATGGCAGAAGTTCGTGACCCTTAAAATATTAATAGTATTAATTGTAAGGGGGACAAGACTGACAACTGAACTGTCTGTCCATGTCAATTCAACAAGGTTTAAGTTACCATATTTCATAGTTCAGTTAACTGAAGATCATATACATGTTTTTTATTAAAGTAAAAAAGTACACATGGAAAAAACTTCAAATTAGACAGAAAAGATAAAGTCAAGTCCCTCATTACTCACATTATTGGGATAATGTGTGAGTTCACGAGAGGACTTCAAAAAGCTTGTAGAAAAAAAGGAGTTAAAGTATGAGTTCATTTTGATGCTAAAAAACATGGACGTACACGCATATTTCACCCAAATATGCATTTTTCATGAGCTCATTGAGGATCCTTTTTATGTGTATGTACAACAGATAACAAATAAGGAAAATTAAACTAGTTTAAGTAGAGCAGGTTAAAATAGAACAATTCTAGTATAACTGTGTCTGCCTTTAAAAAGAGCACATTTCCATATGCTTTTTTTACTAAACACTGTTTCTCAGTACTGATGTAGCATAATTAAATGAATGAGAAGTTACATTATTTATTCAGCATTTCAACAGAAATGGTTCACAATATAAACTTACGAACACTTGATCACATATATCCAATTTGTACTAGAACATGTGTTTCTGATAAAACACACTATTAGATAAAATATTACCAGTTGAGCATACCTCAAGTAAAGGGAACAGATCTTTATCTTCATCCTTTAACATGTTCCATTTCTGGATCAGTGGAGGCATTAGCATCTGAATATATTCCTATTTACAATGATGAAAAACATATAAAGCTCGACTATCATGTTAACAAGTCCATTTTGAGTCTATGAAAATTAAAATCCATTTAGAGTATTTGTGTAAAATCATTACAGAAGGTATAAAGGCTCATTTTTCACTCTACTCCCTTTTAAAACTTGCCTATCTTTTTATTTATATTGTGTTGCTCTATGTTTAAGTCCTCTTACATCCTATCTGAAACAAAATGTATATAAACATACACTTCCAACACTGAAATGTACTACTTGTAAAATCACAATCAATAATCTGTGCAATTTTCACTCTCCAGAAACCATGTCTTTTAGCCCTGTAGTGTGTAACATGCAGTATAGCCATGACTACATAAGGTTGTCAGAAAAGTCATGATGCATTTTTGCATAGGAAATATGTCATAACTTTTCTGACAACCTAAGTTGTTACAGACTGACAAATTTATAGAGGCACAAGTAGAAAAAGAGATTAATAACACTTAAGTGCTCTTGTTTAAACTTAAGAATGATCCATAAAACACCAAGTAAACAAGCATAGTAATTAATAATGTAAACCAGGGAACAGATTCTAAGACATTCATTCAGAAAATACAACTACCCCCAAGTGAAACAGAATCAAAATAACCAACACCAAAAGAACTATTCTGAACAAATTTTCAACATAATTTAAAAGCAGAAACAGTTTAAGACTTTTGATATGGCAATTATACATGCTAAATCTTTTTCTTCAGCAGGGACTCTTGAACTATATTAAAATAGTAATGTCACTTAAATCCTCTTTAAACGAATCTATTTCCTCTTCAACTCTTAAGACTATAGACAAGGTATTTCTTCTGTACCACTATTTGGCATTTTAAACTATGATCTCAATTTCTTAATTGTTTTATATAATGTATTATTCTTCATATTTAAATATCCTGGCAAGAAAACGATGTCTAATGTAGTACTCTAAAGCTATAGTACTTATGAAGCAGTAGATATAAAACCGGAATGAATTTAAGTCACTGGGTCTGGGACTCGAACTGCAGTCGATGACATGGGATTTCAGGACATAACCATTACGCTAACGGCTGGTCCCACAACACATATATACATACATACATACATATACATACACATATATACATACATACACACACATATACATACATATATATATTTGAGAGGTTTTTGCTATAGGGCGCGTGTGCTCACCAGAAAGACAGAGATAGACAGTGAGATAGAAAGCGAGAAATCACCCCCCAGGGGGAATGGCCACGTCACAATCCCTTCTCCTCCATTCTCCTCTTGGGATCTTGGGCACGCACACACACGTGCCTGGCGTGAGCTTAAGCCACCGGGTCTGGGACTCGAACCGCGGTCGACTACATGGGAATCCAGCGACATAGCCATTATGCTAACTGCTATTGATTATAACTATGCTACATATATGTATTTTGTCATAGTAATTAATCATAGATACTTACTGGTTTGTTTAAATGATGTCCTACTGAATCTGCTAATGTTCCTATGGCATCATAAAGAATAAGTAGGTTCTTATGCTGGTATTTACTAAATGCGAAGACCAAGGTATCAAGTATATAAGCAAGGTAAGGAACAAGTTCTGTACAAGCCTCCTCTTCTAGGGTAGCAAAGGCACTGTAATTTAAAAAAAAAAAAGAATATTTATTACTGTATAAAAGGAATCATCTGTAAAGACAGGTATATTTTTTATAGAGAATCTATTCATACTTTATATGCCTAGCTCCCTGCCTCTTCACATCTCTTGCTTATTTTTATTACAATTTTAACATTTCTTATCACACCCTCCCTTCCAAGAGGCTGTCACTCACTGGGCATCTGCTTAACTACATTGGTAAATCTAAACTAAAATATTACTGGACCTTATATTTACATTCAAAAAAAAAATTTAGTGCTAAATAGTAGTCAGTCACTGAGTAAGTGGTAGGAATATAGCAATGAACAAAAACACTGTCCCCATTCTTAGGGGGCCTTCATTCTAGCAACTGTCCTTAGATTTAAAAAAAACCTGAATTAAAAATACGAGGTTGTCAGAAAAGTCATGACACATTTTTGTGTAGAAAAATACATGATGACTTTTCTGACAACCTAATATTAAGCTCTATTTACTACCTCATTCTTCATGCATACCAAGGATCACAAAATGGTAGAAAAGGTTTAATGCTTGGTGTTTGAGAGATACAAAAACACAGCAGAAACATAGCTCCTCAAACATTTCTCTAAGCCCGTCACTGTTCACTAAAACATAGTGCATTTGTTACTACAAATTTGCCTTCTGTACAGCTTTGGCTATTAGAATGATAGGAAAGGAAAAATATCTGGAATCTTAGCACTTCTATTTGAGACCTAAATTTATCTTGATGGCACAGCATGTGGCAGTTTAATTATATAGTTGTTTCATATTTCTTAGTAGCTTCTAAGTTTCAAGATGACAGAGGCTGTAAGCCCAGCACTTAGTGTATGTTTAACAATTAGTAGCTTACAAAATGTGAATAAGCTACAAAAACCAAATATACTCTATATGTTCCTGCAACTTAAAAAAAATTAATTGCTACCCATTGCCAGTCTCCTTGTTCAATTTCCATCTCACTAAGAGAACTCTTCCTAATAATTACGTCTCAGATGTAGTAAGGTACAACTCAAATACACTTTTTTAAGGTTTTTGCCACAGGGTGCATGCATTTGCTGGAGAGAGACAGACTGTGAGAGGAAAGGTGACAAATCACCCCCTGGGGGGATGGCCACACTGCAATCCCTTCCCCAGTCTCCTCCTGGGATTCTGGGCATGTGTGCCCATGCACCCAGTGTGAGTTTCAAGCCGCCAGGTCCAGAACTTGAACTGCGGTTGACCACATGGAAGTCCAGCAGGAATGATAGGAAAGGAAAAATATCTGGAATCTTAGCACTTCTATTTGAGACCTAAATTTATCTTGATGGCACAGCATGTGGCAGTTTAATTATATAGTTGTTTCATATTTCTTAGTAGCTTCTAAGTTTCAAGATGACAGAGGCTGTAAGCCCAGCACTTAGTGTATGTTTAACAATTAGTAGCTTACAAAATGTGAATAAGCTACAAAAACCAAATATACTCTATATGTTCCTGCAACTTAAAAAAAATTAATTGCTACCCATTGCCAGTCTCCTTGTTCAATTTCCATCTCACTAAGAGAACTCTTCCTAATAATTACGTCTCAGATGTAGTAAGGTACAACTCAAATACACTTTTTTAAGGTTTTTGCCACAGGGTGCGTGCATTTGCTGGAGAGAGACAGACTGTGAGAGGAAAGGTGACAAATCACCCCCTGGGGGGATGGCCACACTGCAATCCCTTCCCCAGTCTCCTCCTGGGATTCTGGGCATGTGTGCCCATGCACCCAGTGTGAGTTTCAAGCCGCCAGGTCCAGAACTTGAACTGCGGTTGACCACATGGAAGTCCAGCAGCTTAACCACTACACCACTTGCTGGCTCCCACTTTCTTGTTTTTTAACAGTTAATTCTCCCTATTAACAAAGTCAACAGTAAAAGCAATCTATCTGAAAAAGTTAAAGAGGTGTAAGCATTAAGTAGCAGGTTCTTTTGGAATAATATCAAGGTTGTTCTAGGAAACCAGAATATTTATAGTAATGAGAGGAACCACTGGTCTGATATAAAAGGGGAGATTGCTCCAAACTCAACCAATTGAACAAGTATTGGAGCAGATCTGCGAAGTAAGAGATCCAGACTGGATAAGTCACTGGAGACTTTCTATGGAATTATGGTAGCTGACCTACAGATGAAAAAGATGCGAATCTGCTCAAACTTTATTATCTCAAAAGTGGAACCCTGCCATAACCACATCAGATGTCTAAGGGAACTAGGATGAAAAATAGTTATTTTATTATTATTGTATAAAAGGAGTGAGGAAAAAGAATTAAGGAGGGAACAGCAAACACCAATGTCTAGTTAACAGTCCCATTTAGACTGACAAAATCATTAGGTAAGAGACACAAATAACAAAAATTTCCCAGCCAAACAAAATGTCTAAAATATATAAATTTAGGGACCAGCAGGTGGCATGGTGGTTAAGGTGCTGGACATTCCCACACGGCTGAAGTCCTGGACCTGGTGGCTTGCTTTTTCACTTCCCCTCTTCCTCTCTCTATCTGTCAAATTAAAAATAAATGAATGAATAAATAAAATTTTAAAAATGTAAACTCAAAAGCTATAGATGCAAAGATTTCATAAACAAACAAACAAACAAACAAGTAAAACTAAATTTTCTGGGCCAGCTCTGTAATACAGTGGTTAAACATTGTGCATAGAGAACCACAGTTTACAAAAAGAGGCTGGGTACAAGTGCATGTCAGTCCAAAGTGCTAGTGGGATGGAGAAAAAAAGGACTGTGGCATAATCACACTCCATCTTGCTCTCTAGCAGTTAAAATTAAACAAACAAACAAAACAAAACAAAACCCCTAGACTTTCTAATATAGTTGGAAATATAGACTGAGTGCTCCTAAATCCAAGATGCCCCCAAATCCAGAAATTTTTGAACACTGATGGAATACTCAAAATAGATGCTTTTGACAAGTGGAAAATTCCACACCTGATCTTATGTGATAGGTCACAGTCAAAATGCTGCAACTCAAAAATATTGTATAAATAAGGTTTATCTAAAACATGAATGAATTCTGTACTTACACTTGGGATCCCATCCCTAAGATATCTCATTATGGGGCTAGCAGGTAGCATGGTGATTAAGGCACTAGACTCCAACATGGCTGATCATGGTTTGAATCCTGGACCTGGCAAATTCTTTTCTCACTTTCCCTCTCTCTCCCTCTCTCTCTCTTTGGTAGAGCATGTGTCCTATAGAAAATTTAAAAATAATAAATAAATCTCTTTATGTATATGCAAATATTCCAGAACCCCTCAAAAACTGAAGTTCTTCTGATCTCAAGAATTTTGGATAAGGGATATTTAACTTAATGGTTTAATACCAACATTCTATCACAATGTTATAATAATTAGATCTCACTAGATTACCCACTCCCAGAATGACTACTGCATCATGAATTTGTCCCACCTGCAGGCAGCTTCTTGTACTCTCTTGTTGCTATCCAGGATACGTTTTAGCAATTCTGTCATTAATGGCTTCAGGTATGTGTCTGGTGGCTGGCTGACTACCCAGTGTGCATAGCGGCTAAGAGTCCAGCACGTTATGGAACGCACAAGAGCCTTTTTATCAGAGAGGCACTGAATAAGGTGAGGAATGAGCTCAGGCAGGTATGGAATCATGCCCTGCATGCAACCTAGAAAAAAATAACAATTCTATCAAAAAGTACTAAAATTTGTTCTAAACAATATTATTTCAGTTGAATACTAAAGTGGTACATGTATCCATAAAAACAGTTCAGAGTATTTCCACTGCTATAAATATACTATAATAATCTGTCCCAAAATCATATAAAAAATAAAATTAAAGCAAGCTGCTCCTAAGAATCTTACAGTAGGGTTAGGACTTCACTTTCCCTCTTCTATACCAATTACAGCTTTCCAGAAATGCCTATAAAATGTATCAATTCCTTGCAAACACATGTTTACAGCCAGGACAGTATCAACAATAATCCTTCAGAGAGGATGATGACACTCTGATCTTTTTGTTTCCCAAACATGCCCAGGGTAGGTCCTTTCATTCTGTTCCCTTTACTGTAACAAACAGACAAAACATCTGGCTAGGGTTAGAAGCAAGCTTAAAGCTGTTCAATAATAGCTAACAGTTCAAAGTTGAAATTTATCCTAAGATGGATTTAAGATTCAGTTATCCCTTTTAAGGTTAATAAGATGACAGTCTTGCACACCCTACATCAGCAACACAAGAGAACAAAGTAGTATTACGTAAATTTAAGAGTGAATAATCTTTGCTTATAGGTAGTGACTGTTTATAGTAGCCTAACCTTACTAAGCTATTAAGAACTTTACAATTGAAACCAGATTTAGACTTACCTTCAGCAATTGCTCCTAAAACCAGGATGCCTGATTCTTTAACAACCCATTCATGATGAAAAAGTAATTCTTTCAGGAGGGGCAAAATATGTGGCAGTAGCTCATCGCGATACACATTTGCGAGAACATCCAGGGCAGCAGCAGAACATTTTCCTAAGGAAATATTTAATTAGAAAATATTACATTAACCTCTACTATGATTCACTTACATATCCTTTTTTTTAAAAAAAAAAAACAGGTTTATTGTGTGTTTAACACTATTCTTCTAAAGGTTCAAAGAAAGATTTAAATATACCTATAAAATGTATCAATTCCTTGCAAACAGGAAGTAATATGAAACAAAAAAATTGCTAAATACTTTATGACAAATAGCAAGTTATGAAGACAGTCTATTCTGTATGTGACTGCCATATTTGAGTTTTCAGTGTATGCATAAAAAAAAGTTTTATGCTCTTTTCCTCCCTGGCTGCTTGAGGATATACCACCATCATGAATGACACAGTAATTGTCCAAACCAGGAAATTCATGTTCAACCGACTACTTCAGAGGAAATAAATGGTCATTGATGTCCTTCACCCCAGGAAGGTAACAGTACCTAAGACAGATATTCGGGAAAACTAGCAAACATGTACAAGACCCCATCAGACAGCATCTTTGTGTTTGGGTTCAGAACCCATTTTGGTAGTGGCAAGACAACTGGCTTTGACCTGATTTATGATTCACTGGATTATGCAAGGAAAAATGAACCCAAACACAGACTTGGAAGACAAGGCCTCTATGAGAAGAAAAAAGACATCAAGAAAACAGTGAAAGGACTGCAAGAACAGAATGAAGAAAGTCAGGGGGACTGCAAAGACCAATGTTGGTGCTAGCAAAAAGAGAGCTGAAGATTGGAGAACAGTAAAAGGAGTAAAGATTCTGCAGTACTATCTGTGGTGATTGTGCAGATTTTTCATGAGAGGATTAATAAACTAAAAAAATTTCATGTGAAAAAAAAAGTTTTACAATTCCATTTAATTGATTGCTTCCAAAATACAATACCTACTGTTAGAACTACACCACACAACATACACATTTATTAATTCTACTTAACAGTTGTAGTGGTAGATCACTTATAATTAAATAATTACTCAGCTAGAAGTTATACACATGAATTGGAACAAAAGCACATGAAGCAGAAAATACTCTTTACAAAGGGTCAACTTCAGAACTATAAAATCTTGAATTTAACGTTTAAATAAGAAAAAATATTTTAAGGACCAAGAATTTATGAATGTGAACTAGGCACAGCAAATGGTTAATCACCCCTTAGTTAATGGGAAGTCCTTTAAAAAAGCTGTTACACTCACTAAGGGTCTTAGTTATTAGGTATGGTAGATCTAAACAACTGAATAGTACACTAACATGCAACAGAAGGAAATATATATGCACCGATATAGTATGAGGTTTACAATGTACAGAAAAGCAGCAACTGATTATATATAATTTCACTTCTGGAAACTCAGCTTCTACTCTAAACAGGTATACACGTATTTTTCCATACAAGCACAGAGCAGCTTCTTGGAAGATAGTGAAATGAGTAGGAAGCGAAGAGGAAGTGACTGCTCCTTCAGTGTGCATGATTACTTTTGTAGTTATCTGTATTATAATCTTGATCCATCCTGCCCTTACCCACACCCCACCAGAAGGGATATAACTGGGAAGTAATCTGTGACGGTAGTGTAGATGTTAACTTTACCAGTTCACTTATCTACCTAAGGTTGTTGGAAACATTAATATGATGTACATGAGAGCCTGGCACACTAGACACTCGAACAAAATGTCAGATATAGGGAACTAAGTAGGCAACAGAGGAATTAGCATTCTTCTGTTGGTATGGCTTTAACCACTTCACCATAAGTTATTAGAGATCTCCACACTTTGAATTAGTGTAATGATTCTTAACGGGGGGTGATTTTGCTCTTCAGGGGACATATGACAATGTCTAGAGACATTGTTGGTTGTCATAACTGTAGTGTGTGCTGGGGGCATCTTTGGGTAGATGTCAGGGATACTGCTAAACATCCTCCATGTACAAGACAAAGAATTATGTGGCTCAATAGTGCCAACTGTGCGAAGTTGAGAAACCCTGAACTATAGCAATAGAGCTTTAAAAACTAGAAGCAAAACCAAAACATGGGTGTAAAGGCTCCTTCTCAATTAAGAGGGTAAGCCTGAATGCCAGCTCATAGCTGATGTGGATTTGTAGCAAAGGTTGAAAATCATACATGTCAACATAAAAACTTACACATGAATGTTCACAGCATTACTCACACTAATGAAAAAGGGGAAACAACACAAATATCTATCAATTGACAATACATAAATAAATGTGGCACATTTATACAATGGGATATTATTTTAAAATAAAAAGAAATTAAAAACTGATACATGCTACAAAATGGTTGAACCCTGAAAGTTATGTATGTGAATCACAAGGACCAAGAATTGATCAGGTCCATTTTCATGAAATGTCCCAAATAGGCAAATCCATAGAACTACTATAACTGGTAGATGCCTAAGGCTGGGGGAAAATGAGAAGTGATTGCTAATGAGTATGAGGATTATTTTTTTTTTTTCAGGTAATGAATAATGTTTTAAAACGATTGTGGTGGTGGTTGAACAGCTCTGGGCGCATACAAATAAACCAACCAAGTATATAAGTAGAAGTATATACTGAACCATGTACAGTACTGAGTTATAGCTCAGTGAAGTTATCATCAAAGCATACAACTGTGTCTTTCCCTCCCAGACGTACTTAGATTCCAGTCAGAAATTGTATCGTCATCATCAATTTCATCATCATCATCATCTTCTTCTTCAATCCCATCTTCATCATGCTGCTGAGCCACTGTCCTTGACCGATGAAAACGTGGCCTTATATCCTGTTCACTATCAGGAATTGTTTCATCTTCTTCAACATCACCCTGTTATTTGTTAAAAAAGAGAAATTTCTAGTGACATTTATTTACATGACAATAGTAATAGGTAAAAGAATCAGAATAACCTGTGACAAAGTCATGTTCAGGTTTCTGAAACTTATTTCCTGATTTAGAATCACTCTCCTGTGCAGAAAGTACTTCTTTGAGCAAGGGAGAACAGATTGATATTAACAACTGTTAAGTTATCAGGTCTTTTCAGCCACACTATAGTGCCTCCCATCATCTGGTACAACCTACCATGAGAATCGCAATAAAACCCACATTAGCATATTTAATAAGTAATACATTTGAATAAACTCCATAAATCAAGGAGGAAATGAATAACTATACATGTCACCATCTAGTTCTTATTAAGCTAGAATTTATTACCACCTAAATCCATCATGTATGCTTCTACCATTGACTTCTGGTAGCCTATTATATTAGGAAGCCTATTTACATAGTGTCTATTTTATTTTGCCAGATGGCACAAGGAAAGGACACTCACCAAGGAAAGAGAGTGAGAAGGCAGCCCCCCAAAGGGGTGTATCATGAGACAACCCTCCTCCATTTCTCCCTCCTGTTAGGACACTAGGCGCACGCGCACACACACACGCACAAGTACAAAATATTTTTCAACCTGCCAAGTCTAGGACTCAAACTGTGTAGTCAGCCATGTGGGAGTCAGCCACCTTAACTACCAGGCCACAGGCTAGCCCCACAGGGTCTAGTTTAAGCAAATGTTCTATTGGACAAATTTGCAGATTTACTAGATCAATATAAAAAGTCTTTCCTGTTCATCACAAAACAGTTTCCTTACCTTAAGAAGGATAATATCTATATCTGAGTACTTCATACCATTCACTAACACAGGAATCAACCTATGAAGAAATGAAACAAAGATTCATGAAACAAAGTTCTAAAGATCTCAATAAAATAATTAATAACCTTACGTACACTAAGGATTCCTGATAGGGAAAATGAAGCAGTGGGATTTAAAATTTCCTAGACAGGTTTAAGAAATTTGGGCCAGCCAAATTTTTATGCTCAGTAATACTAAATTTGAAAATAGGAAGACTAATAGTAATTAAACATTATGGCTAGCATAATTTCATAAGGTTTATATTATTACACATAACTTTAATTTGTAAGCTACACCCACTGGGCAGGAAAACTAGGTTTATCTACATCAATAACATCTAAAATTGTTGATGATTTTTGTTGTTAATTTCAGAAAATATGCAAGCATTAACAAAAGGTGGACTAAGGAAGTGAAGATAGTGAGCCCTCTATTTTTTGACTATTTCAAATATGGAAAAAAAGAAACAAGTTTAGAGAAAAAATATCAACCTAAAGAAAAAAATATGCCATGCAGACCTTAAGTAGAAAAATTAGGAAGATAACTCATGTAAAAATTTACCATATTTTGAGACAAGATAAATACTTTCTCTATAAAGCAGAAGTGCTCAAAGTGAATGAAAACGTCAAAAACTGATAAAGGTTTGAAATAAGTTGCTCTGGTAAAGATAAAAAGCTGGTCTGGAAAAAGGGCTGGTAGATAGTGTGATGGGACCCCTTAAAGATGATGACTATGGATTTCTACAGCTAACAATATCCTTGGCAATTAACTCTTCCCCAAAAGTATGCAACGGCCTGGTTAAAGACAGAAAATATTTCAATTAACCCAGAGCAGGGAGAATCATGGAGGATGGCTGGAAGCTTAGTCAACATGGATTACATGTGGTGTTGATTTCTGTCAGAATAAAAAGGAGATTCTGAGATTGGAAGAACACAAAGAGGTCAAGCGCCTTGCCATGCAGGAAATAAGCGACTAGTAAAGCTGGGCAAATAAGGATGAGGTTGGAAAATGAGATATGAGAGCTACCTTTATCTGACCAACTCCAATATTGCAAGGCAGATCATTACTTTTAAACAGGTCTAAAAACTTCACTTAATGCCTTATATAGCCATTAAAAACAAGTTTTTTGGGACCAGCAGCTGGCGTAATGGCTGTGTTGCTGGACTCCCATATAGTCGATCGCGGTTCGAGTCCCAGACTCGGTGGATTAAACTCATGCTGGGTGTGTGTGGGTGTGTGTGCGTGCGTGCCCAAGATCCTGAGAGGAGAATGGAGGAGAAGGATTGCGATGTCGCCATCCCCCCTAGGGGGTGATTTCTCGCATTCTGCCTCTGTCTTTCTGGCAAGTGCACATGCCCTATAGCAAAAACATCTCCAAAAAAGCCAACAAAACAAAACAAAACAAACAAACAAAAAAACAAGCCCCAAAAAACCCCAAGTTTTTAATACATCACAGAAAGATATTAATACCAATAACAAATGTTGACTGAATACTTAAATATGTGGTATTGGGTTTTTATTAAGAATAATCCATATAATAACAAAATGCAAAAAAAAATTTTCTTTTTGGAGGTTTTTGCTATAGGGTGCATGCGCTTGCCAAACAGAGAGACACAGAGATAGAAAGTGAGAAATCAATCACCCCCCAGGGGGGGATGGCCATGCCACAATCCCTTCTCCTCCATTCTCCTCTCGGGATCTTGGGCATGCATGCACACACGCCCGGCGTGAGTTTAAGCCACTGGGTCTGGGACTCGAACCACGGTCGACTACGTGCGAATCCAGCAACATAGCCATTATGCTAACTGCTGGTCCCCCCAAATACAAAAAATCTAATGTCATCCTTATTATAATGTTAGTGCTAAGTGAATTCTTATTAATAAGAGATCTCATATACAACTTTTTTTTTTGTTTAAGTTTTTTTTTTTTTTTTTTTTGCCAGAGGGCACATGCACTTGCTGGAGAGACACAGAAAGAAAGAAAAGAGAGAAATCACCCTCCCAGGGGTTGTTGGTGGTGGTCATACACAGTCCCTTCTCCTCCATTCTCCTCTGGGCATTTTGGGCAATGCATACACACACACATACCCAGAGCACCCAGAATATGTGCTTGGTCTGTTTTCCAGGCTGCTGGCTCTGGGATTCAAACTGCTAAATTGGCCATGTGGGATCCAGTGCCTTAACTCATGTCACCTTCTGGTCCCCAAATTTTTAATTCTTAATCAGTTTTTTATTTTGATTTGCCAGATGGCATGTGTACTCGCCAGAGAGAGTGGGTTATAGGAGAAAGCAGTTACCCGAAACGCAATGGTCATGTTTCAATCTCTTCTCCATTTCTCCCACCCTTTGGGATTTTGGGCACACACATACACACATTTAGCATGTTTTTCAAGTCACTGGCTTTGGGACTTAAATCCCATGGTTGGCCATATGGGATCTAGCTCCCTTAACCACCAGACTGCACAGGCTGGCCCAATTTTTTAGTTCGCATTGGGCACATGACACGAGTGCTTGTCGGCGAGAGATACAGAAAAAGTGAGAAAGCACTCCCCAAGTGGAAATGGTCACGCTACAATTCCTTCGCTTTCATTCTTCCCTCAGGAGTTTAGGCATGCATCCATATACATGTGGCATATTTTTCAAGCCGCTGGGTCTAGGACTTGAAAAGCATAGCCAATAGGATCCAACCACGTTAATCACCATGGCACTGGAGAGCTCCCAAGTTTTAATTCTTTTTTTTTTTTTGAGAGATTTTCACTGTAGGGCGCGTGTGCTTGCCAGACAGACAGAGAGAGACATAGAGACAGAAAGCGAGAAATCACCCCCCAGGGGGGATGGTCACGCCGCAATCCCTTCTCCTCCATTCTCCTCTCGGGATCTTGGGCGCGCACGCACACGCGCCCGGCTTGAGTTTTAAGCCACCGGGTCCGGGACACGAACCGCGGTCAACTACGTGGGAGTCCAGCGACATAGCCATTATGCTAACTGCTGGTTCCCTCAAGTTTTAATTCTTAAGCATATACTTTTTTCTCATCCCAAGAGTCTGCTTAGCAATGCTATGAAAGATAAATTATGTTATCATGCTTTTTATCTCAACATCAGATTGATGCTGGTAGACACTCTACCCTCCCAATGCATTTGCTGAAAAATCATTGTAACTTCGTTTTTATTTTGAAAGAATTATTTTATTTAACTTTATCCATTTATTTATTTTAATTTGACCAGAGAGGAAGAGAGAGAGAGAGAGAGAGCGAGCGCGAGGGAGCAAGCAATCCGCCAGGTCCTGGACTCAATCCACAGTTGGCCATGTGGGAGTCCAGTGCCCTTTACCACGCCACCTGCCGGCCTCTTTAACTTTGTTTATATATAAAAATGGCTCTCAGACAGTGGCAAGAAAGACAAAAATCAAACCCACTTATGGTTGGTTTAAATTGTTTAATTAGAAAAGCAAAATGAAAGATGATTATTGTTTAGCTTGCTATTAAATTCTTGACTGTTTTAGTGATTTTCAATATTAGTGAAATGACAAAGCTGAATACTTAGGATAACTGCATATTATCAATATCATATGCTAAAAAAATCATATGCTGATGTTATAACTTAAGATTTCACCAACAGAACCTGTAGTTTTTATAAAAATTAATAATCTGTTTCTGACTTTTAGAATTGTATGTCCTTTTTTTTTTTTCTTTTTTGGAGAGGTTTTTGCTATAGGGCGCATGCGCTAGCCAGACAGACAGAAAGTGAGAAATCACCCCTCAGGGGGGATGGCCATGCCGCAATCCCTTCTCCTCCATTCTCCTCTCAAGATCTTGGGCATGCACGCACATGCGCCCCGGTTGTTTAAGCCACCGGGTCCGGGACTAGAACTGCAGTAGACTACGTGGGAGTCCAGCGACATAGTCATTATGCTATCTGCTGATCCCTAGAATTATACGTCCTTATATAGCAAGATCCAAAGATACCATAAGAGTGGCATCTCAAATTAGGGAGAAAAGAATTAGTTCATGGATTTCCTAAAAATAAATTAAAACAAAACATTTAGCACATCATAATGTACTTTGTTCCCAAATAAACTCTAGACCGATTAGAAAACATAGGTAGAATTGCTGTTTTCTTGGTAAAGAAGTTACTGGATATCATAGCACTGAATTACCTATATAAAAATGAGAACATCCAAGTATTACAAACATCTGGAAAACATGTAATTCCACTAATACTGAGACATCTTAAAAATCAGTCTGTTTTTCGTTTATCCAGATTAGGGAAGATTAGGGAAGCTATAATTAACGGCTGGCAAAAACTGCATTATAGAACGGATATTGCTGGTGGTATATGAATTGGTATAAATTTCCTAGAGAATAGTTTAGAATGTTTATAGAAAACCTTTACAATGCTCATGTAGTCTAACCTTGGTAAAGATCACTCCAAGAAATTTTACCATAAACAACCATTTATGAATTAAAAAAAAAAGCCATTAAGATTTGTATTAAGAATAAAGTCAACTAACATAAATATTCAATACCAGAGAACAGTGGTGTGTACACACATACATGTATACAAGTATATATATTTATATACACACATATAAAAATCAGATTTATATATGTGATGTGTACATCACAAGGGAGTAGGTAAGTAATCACTTTAATTTTAAAGACTAACGACACAGAGGAAAACATATAACATACACTGACAGAAAAGCACGAACCATAAAATAACATAATCAAATTCTTTCTTTTTTCTTTTTAGGTTTCTGCCATAGGGCATGCATGCTTGTCAGAGAGAGAGAAAATGAGAAATCACCCCTGGGGGGATGGCATGCTACAATCCCTTCTCCTTCATACTCCTCTTGGGATTTTGGGCACGCATGAACATGTACCTGGCATAATTTTCAGGCTCACAGGCCAGGGCTTGAATCATGGCCGGCCACGTGGGAACCACCATGCCACAAGCTGGCCCCGTATAATCAAATTCCTAATCAGCAGTTTTAAGTGAGATGCCATGTAAGTGTGTTAAATATATTAGCAAATCTAATTCTTCCCAAAACACCCTGAATACATGGTATTTGGTAAATGGTACTTACAAAGAAGAAAAACATTAAAAGATGACACACTGAAAACACTTAACAGTGATTATTCACGGTGGTGAAAATCCAGAATTAAAAGTTTTCTGAAATTTAACTTTCTTCTATGAATACATATTGCTTTATTCTCAGAAAACGGTAAGTATTAACTTCTAAAAGTAACTGATTTAACAGTATTCACTGGGTTAAAAACAGGCTCAATGACAGGTAACCTAAATATTTCATAGACATCACAGCTGGCAAAAAATCAGTTTTGGGGAAAAAAACAAAACTCTGTCACAGAATCCATGATCCAAAGATTATTGGAAAAGAAAAATAAATTAAAAAAGTTGTGCCATGAGTCATCCAAAATTATGATTTAGAATAAAACATTCCCATGTAATTTTTAAAAGATAATTGCTTCTTGAAAAATCTCTTATACCAATAGAAAAATTAAGTCTGTCTTCTTTCAAGCTTCATTCCCTGATGGCAGAAGTGTTTTTTAAAAAAATATAAAAACAAGGAGTTGCTGTTAAGCAGTGACATTTCAGAACAAAGCAGCAGCAGCAGCAGCACACTTACTTAGGAAGATGCCTTATGAGTACATCTTTGCATATTGGCTGTTCAGCCAAAGTGAGCCAAAATTCACAGGCTTCTAAAGCCACATTTTCATCTTGATCTTGGGTCCTCTGTAGCATGTACTGTAAACAAAAGATCTTTAATATTAACCATGTAAATCATACCATTAATATAAGTTCAATCCTACATCTGGCCTCTGCTATGGCCTTGTACTTTATCATGATCTCAACCTGGGCTTTTTAATTTTATTTCTTTTATTTTTTTAAGGTTTTGCCGGTATGTGTGCTCCCCAGAGAGAAGAGAGAGAGGGAAAGTGAGGAATCAGCCCCCTGGGGATGGGGATGGCAATCCTTTCCCTCCATTCTCCTCTAAAGATTTTGGGCACTCATGCACATGTACCAGGCATGATTTTCAAGCCACTTAGTTTGGCACTCGAAAGGTGGCTGGCCAAATGGGAATCTAGCCGCCCTAACCATTACACCACCTGATAGTCCCTGGGCTTCTGACGCTTTAAAAACATTTCCTGGGTGATTTTTAAAGGCAGATAAATTTAAGAACCACTGCACTCTCAAAGACACACCCAGAAACAATGCTTCACCTGCCACCTCTCAATTCTGTCAATCCAAAATCATCCTTTAACACTACAGGATCCTAAAACACAACTACATTTAAGAACTGCTGCTTTAGGATGTTACCCAATGAACTATGCAAAACATGTATTATTTATCTGTTTCTTTATTTTATAGACTCACTGAGATTTTTAGGATATGAATGTTACACAACCTCTCTGCACGTTTTGCATCCATGGATTCAACTGTGAATACAGTGAGGCCACACCAGTTGTTATGACATGGGAGAAGAGGCAGCTTCCTTAAAGAGAGAAGTCTATACATTTTCCTTTTCACTTATATATGATGGAAAGATATATAATACAGAGAATTTAAAACTTATAGGTGTGTATGGTCTGTGCAAATACTATGCCATTTATATAAGAGACTTGAGCATCTACATTATTTTGTATTGGGGGAGTCCTGGAAACAATCTCCTCTGTAGGTACAGAAGGATGATCATAATAAAATATAATGCCTTCTTTGAAACCCAAAGAATTCTAATATATCTTTAAAATGAATGATCTTTTTACAACTACTCAAGTGGTCTCTTGTAACTATAAGAACTCTGACATATCTAAAGTGGTACTTTTCACATCATAGTAGTTAATTTATTAGTTTTCAGTGTTAGAGGGCACATGTACTTGCCAGAAAGAGAGGGAAAAAAAGAAAGCACCAACTAATGGGATATGGTCACACTATAATGTCTTTCCTCCATTTTCTCATCCCACCAGGATTTTGGGCACATACATATGGGTGCCTGGCATGTTTTTAAAGCCACTGGGCCAGGATTCAACTCACAGCTGGTATGTGGGGTGCAGCTCCTATGCACAGAGCTTAACCACTGTGATATGGGGCCAGAGCATGCTACTGAGTATTTCTGAAGAAAAAACTGTAACTTTACAAATTAGGTTCTCCAGCTACAACCTAGCAACAGATAAAATTCTTACCTTTTAACTCCAAATTCACCCACTTAAACTTTTGACTAATACCACCTCACTCTTCAAAGAGAACAGACTCATCAGAGAAAACATTATTTGTCCCCATCTTAGCTGCTCTATACACTTTTCTGTCTACAAATACTTTTCCTAATGTTTTAGGACAGAAATTGCTACACACCATGAACGCTTCTTTCTTCTAATAGATCTCAGACTCTACCCTTTAAAACAGAACCTCCTTCTCCACAAGACATGAAACTCTGAAAATAAAAAGGAGGTTCTAGATAATATACTACTTAAAACACTTGCAGAGCTTCACAATATTCCTGTACAACTATATTCAGCAATATCTAACAGATGGTATAGTCTGACTCTAGCAGTACTACTGCATAAACAATTTTGTTCTAATAATAATTTTATCTTATTATGTAGCCCACCATGAATATAAATCAGAAAAAGCAAATTCTAAACTTTAATTCTGAACTTTCACGACACAAGAATATGCCACTTACTCTCCCAAAGTTTCCTTCATCTTTTTATGAGAGGAAGGAAAAGGGCAGAAGAGGGAAAGGGAGAGAGAAACAAAGAGAAAAGGAGAGAGGGAAGGGAAGAAGGAGAAAGGAAAAGAGAAAGGGGATGAGGAGTATGCAAGGAGGAGAGGGATAAAGATTCTTGACAGGGTCTCTTGGCCCCAGCCTTTCATTAGCTAGGATCACACACCCGGGCAACTGTATCCAAGTATGTTCGCGTTGGCCTGAGAACTTAATACAGGCTTTCCATGGGGCTTCCAGCCTCTCAAATGAAATTATCTGTATACCACCGTGATTGAATCAATCTACCAAACTTTTATTGATCACTTGGTAAAACAAATAATGTAAATTATTTCCGAGTTACCCAAATTAAAAGTTACCTCTTTTAAATAATTCTCCTGTAACACCTCAAATCTCATGAAAGAAAAAAAAAAAATCGCACAAAGATAAATTTAATTTTGAGACAATCATAATTAGTTTTTATAGCCCTCTTCCACTAAATGTGTTGTATATGTTAAAAAACTGCTTTCACATTATACATTTTGTGCCTAATATTTTTCCTGGGGGAAAGATGAGTAAAAAGCTATTAAGTTTTGTCTGCAGCTGTGTTACCTCGACTATATTATGCATGTGAGGAAGCAGGCGGTCCATTCGAACTTCAAGCAACATCACAAGTGCCCGGCATACATTTTTCCGTACCTCTGGTTCTTCATCACCAGCCAATGCAAAAAGATTCTATTGCACAAGAAACAATTTTTTTCTAATTAAAAAATTCCAGTATCTTGGAAAGGTTGATACACAACAAGGAACAAAATACAGGTTGGTGGCATTTAAAGAAACCCTACAAAAAAATAACTGAATTAACTGGTCTAAAATATTAGATTATACAGACAATTAAATGTGGAATGGTAACTTAAAGATTATCTAAAAAGCTATTCTTTCTGATAGAATACAATCAATTATGTTTTGAGGTAATTATTAGTTAATAAAATAAAATGATGTCATTAGGACACAGGAGTACTCAGCTCATTCTGAAGTAGAGATATTTGTTACAACATTTATTTACTCCTCAAAATTACTGTCGGACAACAAAATTCCACTAACCCAATTCTTAAGGTGATTAATAGGTACAAATTCTATAAAATCATCAGTAGTTGGGAAACACAAAATGATTTTCTAACATTTCTAAGCATGTAAACTGCTACTAGTCACCAAGTCAACTACTGAAATAATAGGAAAAGTAGTAATAAATTTTTGCTATTCCTTAAAAGTTTTTGTACAGATAAAAAAGATGGTCTGAATGGACAAGGCTATTTCATTTTTGCAACTCTAAGATGTTATTATTCAGTTTTACAGATAAGAAAATGGAAATTAAAAGAAGTATTAAAAAACTCGCTAACCAGTGTTGGGGGGTTAATTTGGCTTTTATGTAATCTTAAATCCTCTCATTTCACTAAACCAATAAGCTTTCAGTGGAAGAAGAGCTTACAAGTGAAAATGTAAGGAAAAACCAACAAAATCTTCCTCATGTCACTTACTTTAAATACACGTGTGCACATACTCATGTGTATGCCGAAAACAGTAAAAACATCGTTTAAAAAAACCCCAATGTGTGCCATTGTCTTTTTCCAAGAAATCACAGAAATTTCTTAAAACAAACAAACAAAAAAACCCCAAAAACCTGAACTACAATTAAGTTCAATTAAAAATCTGAATGTATAGGATCAGCAGGTGGCATGGTGGTTAAGGCGCTAGACACTCCCACATGGCTGACCACGGTTTGAGTCCTGGACCTGGTGGCTTGCTTTCTCACTTTCCTTCTTTCTCTCTGTGTATCTCTCTGGTCAAATTAAAAAAAATAAAATGAATAAATGAATGAAAAAAAAAAAGAAAATCTGAACGTATGAGTACTGTTGAAAACTTTTTAAAATCCAAAATGTGTGTATTGGGATGGTTTCCCACTCATCTTGAATAAGGATGCTTTTACTGCTGCTTCCTCCTGAAAGAACATCCCTCTGTTAGCCTCGCTTTTCCTGCTGTAGGATGGCAGAGGACAGCGGAGCAACAAACGTACAAAACTAGTGTTTGTGCATGTAAAGACTGTGGTGATTACACAGCATTCTGGGCACTTCACATCCATGAAGCAGGAATCTGGGCTCTGCACCAGGTGCTTCTTGTGTTTCTTCTTCTCTTCTGCAGAGGGATGAAGGAGGTCCTTTGCGAAAGGCATGGTCTCGTGGGGAGGGCATCACTGCCGGAAAGCCTGTTGTAGCATTTTTAAAACTTGATTTCTCCAAGCCTCCCTTTTTGACACTTTTTAAAACTATGGTTCCTTTCTTAATCAAACGTATTTTACATGGTCAGAGAAGAACACTGTTTTATCAGTGGGCATTGCTTTTCTGCTTGATATGCACCCATCATTGAATTTTATTCGAAAATTTTATTCATTTATTCCAGAGAACAGCAGCCAGATTAGGGAAAAAGGATGTCCAATGTTATCATCTTGCACTTGTAACTTTGTTACTAATGTCATAGAATAAACTAAACACACCTAGCTTTGACAAGGTATGTGTATAGCCACCTATTGGCAACCAGTATACTTTTTGTCACTATTCTGTCAGACTTAGCAAACATCATTATCAGCTACTAATGAAAACACTGCTAGTGGGACCAGCAGAAATTTACAGCTTTGAAGGATGCACAATAATAGAGCAGCCAAGAAATGTCAATATGACATTTTGACAGTACAGTAGTTCCCCTTATTGAGGGGGTGGGGAATTCTAAGACCTCTCCATGAAAGCCTGAAACCCTGGACAGTACCAAACCCTATCAAGAAAGACTACGGTCAACTTAAAAATTTTTATTTTATGTATCATAATTATTTTTTAGTTTGCTACAGGGGTCATGTGCTCATGAAAGAGAGAAAAAAAAAGCAAGCTGCCAGGCACTGGGACTGGAATCATGGACGGCCATGTGAGAGTGCAGTGCTTTAATCATCATACCACCTGTTGGCCCCATCGAGGAGGTCACTCTTTTACCTAAAGAGAACCCTTTATGGATTTTTTGGGGGCATATTCAAATTGCCAGCATCATTACTCTTGTGCCTTGGGGTCATTATTAAGTAAAATAAGGTAATTTGGACATAAGCACACAATACAACATACTGAGACAGCTGAATGATTAATGAGTAGATAGTGAATACAGTATGAACACACTGGACAAAGGGATGATTCATGTTGCAAGCAAGATAGAGCTGGATGCCTTGAGATTTCACCATGCTACTCAGAATGGTGTGCAATTTAAAACTTGTGGGTTGTTTTATTATGGAATTTTTCATCTATTATTTTGAGATTCTGGTTGGCCGAAACAAAGTAAAAATGTAGATGAAGGGAGACTACTGTAATGCATATTTTAGAATGCTGAGAAATGTTCTTGCTCCACTTGCTGAGTCTAGCCCTGTGGAATTTTTTTTTTTTTGGAGAGATTTTCACTGTAGGGCACGTGCGCTCGCCAGACAGACAGAGAGAGACATAGAGACAGAAAGCGAGAAATCACCCCCCAGGGGGGATGGTCACGCCGCAATCCCTTCTCCTCCATTCTCCTCTCGGGATCTTGGGCACGCACGCACACACGCCCAGCGTGAGTTTTAAGCCACCGGGTCCAGGACACGAACCGCGGTCGACTACGTGGGAGTCCAGCGACATAGCCATTACGCTAACTGCTGGTTCCCGCCCTGTGGAATTTTTGAGAGGATTCAACTTGCTTTATTCTAAATTGTATTTCCTTATAAGATGCTAGTATGTCTATCACTGTTCCCTTTATTAAGCTGTGTAAGAAAAATACTAAGAGGAAATTTTACCATAATTACGACAGAAACTACTACTAACAGTGAACATGAAAGTAACAGCTAATGTGAAATATTTACTCTGCGGCAGGCACCATTTCAACCTACTGACAGTAGCTAGCTTTATGACAATTCAGCAAGGTAGGTCAATTATTAGCCCCATTTTATAAATAATGGAATAGAAAACATCAGTTAAATAAGCTAAATAAAGTGCCCAAGGTTACAGAGCTCTTACGCTAAGAAACTGGGATCTAAGCCCAATCAGTCTAACTCCAGATCTCTAATATTAACCAGTACACTATACATAACCTCTAGACCAAACTAGATAGAAAATTCTTCACAGGCATAAAAATTAATGCATGCTTCTCTAGCACTGAATATAGTGCCTGATTCACAGTAAGTACTAAGTGAAACTCACTTAAGACATACAGGTGATTTTTTTTTAGGTTTTTGCCATAGGGCATGTGTGCTTGCCAGAGAGAGTTGAGGGAAAGTGAGAGATCACTTGTCCCCCTCCCCAGCTCAAGGGCACGGCCATACCACAATCCCTTCTTGTCCATTCTCCTCCAGGGATTTTGGGCATGCACACACACACACGTCTGTTGTGATTTTTCAAGCCACTAGGTTCAGGACTTGAACCTTGGTTGGCTACATGTGAGTCCACTGCTTTAACTACGAAGATCTGCTGGCCCTAAGAAGAATAGTTTAACTTATAACTAACACAAAGATCCACACAGACCACTATTCTTAGTGTATTAGTAGAAGGTGCTCAGGAAGAAGTTGGTCAATTTAAGTAATAAGAGAAAAAAAGAAAAACAAACATAATTTGTTTCTTCTTTCTTATAATTTTCCAACAGTAAATATTATCAGCAATCTGACCCTTAAAGGATTTTTAAAAACAGCTGGAAAGGAATAAAATATTTTTTAAAATTTGCTTTGATGAAAATGAAAGTTAAAGTGCTAAAGGAACCTTAATGTCACTGAGCTGTAGAGGTTTTTAAAGGGAACTATATCGTTTATAGCTCATGGCCAGAATATTATGCTCTTGCCCTCTTTCTGCTTTTATCATAAAGGCCAAAGTGTCTTTTAACGATGCTTGCTGAGATTTAAGAGTCAGTTTTTCCGCTTGTGCCTCTAATGATAATAGAAAATTAGAAATGCTGTCCTTTTAGACTGTAGCCTTCAGATTCTTTAATGTGAAGTCAACAACTTTTTGTGACTTCAACAATTGCGTATGAAAATTTAATTTCAGCTTATGTACAGTATTTAAAATGTTGCCTATCAAAAGGGGAATACAGACTACAATATTTTACATTTCAAGTACTGCAGATAAACTGAGACAGAATTTCCAGATGCCATTTGAATAGTACATTAAAGAAAATTTTAAGATAGACAAGATATTAAACCATACACATTTATACCATAACCACTTGGTAGAAAAATTAGTAACAGAAAAAATGCTTTATTTTCAGTTAAACAAAAATTATAGTCTATACTGTATCTAATTTTAATAGTAAAAGAATTGCCTGAATACAGTTTATATTAAAATTGGAAATCAATTAAACACAAGGACGTTGGAAGAGAACTCTTACCTCAATAAAAGAATCAATGTGCAACATCAGAGCTTGAGTCCTACTGATAATAAATTGATTGACACATGCAACAGCGTGAGACCTAGAAACAAAGTTCAGAATTTAATAGATGCTCGTTGTAGCTTTTTCTATTTACAGAAGGCTGTAAAGAACTTAAAACTTTCCTCTAGTAAAATGTTATGGTGTATGGTGCATCCACTTACATGCCCACTAAAAAGAAACAGTCAGATCTCTATCAACCAAGCAGAACTGGAATGTATTAAGTAAAAAACGTCTGTAAGGACATGTTCAAATTTTTAATAATGAAAATCTCTAGAGAGCAGGAGGTTGGGTAAGGGGCATGATTTATTTTTTATATCTACAGATTTAAAAACATAGCAACCATTCCTTTTTTTTTTTTTAGAGGTTTTAATTTTTGCTATTGGGCGCATGCACTCGCCAGAAAGACAGAGTGACAGAGAGACAGAAAGCGAGAAATCACCCCCCAGGGGGGGTGGCCATGCCGCAATCCCTTCTCCATTCTCCTCTCGGGATCTTGGACACACACGCACATGCGCCCGGCATGAGTTTAAGTCACCGGGTCCGGGACTCGAACCACAGTCGATTACATGGGAGTCCAGCGACATAGTCATTACTCTAACTGCTGGTCCCAAACATTCCTTTTAAATCTAAAAGTGAGCAATAATCTGTGTTCTGGCATAACAAGTTCAATCCCAGAGAGATTCTTATTGGTATTTTAAAATTACACCCTTAATTCACTCTAGCAGCACTGGTAGAGTAGCAGCACAATGCTCTGTGATGCTAGAACTACTTGAAAAGGTCCTAGGGAACCAGCAGTTAGCGTAATGGCTATGTCGCTGGACTCCCACGTAGTCGACCGTGGTTCGTGTCCCGGACCCGGTGGCTTAAAACTCATGTCGGGCACGTGTGCGTGCGTGCCCAAGATCCCGAGAAGAGAATGGAGGAGAAGGGATTGCGGCGTGGCCATCCCTCCTGGGGGGCGATTTCTCGCTTTCTGTCTGTATGTCTCTGTCTGTCTGGCGAGTGCACGCGCCCTACAGTGAAAATCTCTCTCAAAAAAAAAAAAAGTCCTAAAGGCAAAAGTACAAAACTTCACTAAAAACAAGCAGTCAGGCCTAGCTGTGGTGGCACAACCAGTAGGACAGTGCTGTTCAAGACGGGTCGCATGGTAGCCCTGGGTTGAGTTCCCAAACCCATCTAAATGGGCCAGATGCTTAGTGTGTCTGTAATCCTAGCTAATTGGGAGGCTGGAGAATAGGACTATAAAGGTGAGTGTGTCAAAAATACTATCTGTCTCTCCCTGCCACATTCAAAGGAAAAGAGAAACACAAAACCCCAGCAATCGGTATTACAAAAAAAACCTATTTCTCGGGACTCCCATGTAGTTGACCGAGGTTCGAGTCTTGGACCTGGTGGCTTAAACTCACGCCGGGTGCATGTGTGTGCATGCCCAAGATCCTGAGAGAATGGAAGAGAAAGGATTGCGATGTGGCCATTCCCCCGGGGGATGATTTCTTGTTCTCTCTCTCTTTCTGGTGAGCGCATGCGCCCTATAGCAAAAATCTCTCCGAAAAAAGGGAGAAAAGCCTATTTCTCTAAAACTGATCTCCAATGTAAATTTCAGCAAGGTTTCCCATAATACTTGAATTATAGAGTTTATAAGAGAAAAGAACTCCCCTACTACCTAGGTTATATGCTGCTCTAAATATTATTTCCCAATAAAATAAATCAGATCTATCCTAGAAATACAGATGACAGAATACCTGGAACCTTATAATTATCTATACATACGAAATTACTGTAAAACATAAACTATTTGATGAATACGCAAAGACAAAGACAGAAACTATTCTTGTAAGAATAAAAGTATTTATCCACATACTTAAATATCTGGCATTTTCTCCCTAGACCTCTTTTCAATAAGCTTTTTTTATAAGCTTTCTTCGCTACACACTACAGTATTTTAGAATATCTGAAGTATCTGAAATATTTAGTAAGCTCAGTGTACTCTGTTAAAGAAAAATCTTTCATCCTGGAGTGGCTATCTATTTCAGGCCAAATACTGATTTTTAGTCTCTCTCCAACATATACTTTTTGTTAGAAAAAACTCTTCAAATAAAGTTATTGATGGTTATTTAAAAAATTCTACCTATATGTCCCCCTACCTTCTCTCTCATAAATTTGTGTTACAGAACTGCAGAGTTTATTATTTTCATTACATCTTGGGACAGAATATAAAGTCACCTTATTATAAATAGGAATAGCAGCATAAAAATTTCTTCCCAGTTGTGGTATTTGAGTACACCTTAAAAAAATACAAATTTTATCCTCACATGGCTTAAATTCTTATTGTTTAATTTGCCAAACAGTTTTATTGCTGTGTAGCAATTCATTTCACTCTCATAAACTTTATTTTAAATAACTGCAATTTAGTGACATGGATTACATTTTGATTTAAAGGCCTAGTCTCAGTGGTGTTAATAGATGAGTGTCATTACAAGAGGCGAGGGCCATATGGGAGGCCTAGATTTGGCTCCTAGACCATCCTCAGCAGGTCAGATGTAGTGCTATGTGCCTGTAGTCCTAGTTAGCTGAGCCAATGGGACACGAGGATCACAGGTGGAAGGCTATCATACATACCTATATGTCACCCTACCTCCTCTCTCACAAATAAATAAAATGAAAACTTGATTTAAAGTTACTGTCATAAAATGGCAATGGAATACAAGAGGGCCTATTAAGAGATCCAAACACATATGTAAATGTGTATATGACATAGAGGTGGCATTTTAAGTCAATGAGTAAAAGGGACTTTTTTCCAATAATAAAAAAAATGTGCTAGGAAAAAACTGTTACCCAAATGGAAAAGACAGAATGTAATTACTAGCTTAAATTGCACACATGGATGCCTGATTTATTAAGGTCTTAAAATGTGAAAAAGCTCTAACATTTTAAAACACTTAGTAAAGACAAAAAAGAGAAAAGTCATTTTCTGTACAGATGACTAATCAAGGTTGAGAATTCCTGCTAATCAGTGTAGTACAACAGAAAAAGGACAAAAGACAAGAACAGAAAAGGGCAATTAATACAGCTGATAAACATACAAGATGGCTATCATTAACGATGAGTATACTATTAAAACCATAATGAAACATGACATACCATTTTATATCTATTTGATTGGGAACATTTAAAATATATGACAATATTAAATGCTGAACATGTATATCCACAGAATTTTTTAATCTTGTCATAGGGAGTGTAAGTTGGTATAGCCTCTTTGGAAAACAGTTCAATACATTATTTCTGTTAAGTAACCATTCACATAACCTGGGTCTCAGCAATTCCTTTCTTAGATTATTCACAGGAACAAAAACCCGGAAGCTACACAAAGGCCAAAGGCCTTTTGGGGAAAGTAAATGCCGACTGGGGGGGGGGGGGTTGTTTTTCTCGCGCTGTGGGGAAAAGAAATGCCGGCTGGGGGGGGGGGGTGTTTCTTCTCTCACCCTCCCTTCCCCTCTCTCTGGTTAGAGCACTGCCTTCTGGCAATAAAAAACAACAAAAAAGGGGTGAAAGAATATTTATTAATATTTACTATCTAGCAATGATGCATTAATTACTAGTGATTTTTTTCTGCCTTTTTTTAAATTGCTGAAAACATATGGTAACAAGTAAATTTCCTAGAAGACAAAAATAAGTAAAAAATTATGAGACTAAAAGTTAATTTTTTTACTTAATATTTTTTTTTTTGAGAGATTTTCGCTATAGGGCGCGTGTGCTCGCCAGACAAAGACATAGAGACAGAAAGTGAGAAATCACCCCCTGGGGGGATGGTCATGCCGCAATCCCTTCTCCTCCATTCTCCTCTCAGGATCTTGGGCATGCACGCACACGCGCCCGGCGTGAGTTTTAAGCCACTGAGTCCGGGACGTGAACCGCGGTCGACTATGTGGGAGTCCAGCGACATAGCCATTACACTAACTGCTGGTTCCCTACTTAATATTTTAATGAGGAGATTTTTTTTTTGAGAGATTTTTGCTATAGGGCGCGTGCGCTTGCCAGACAGACAGAGAGAGACAGAGACAGAAAGCGAGAAATCACCCCCTAGGGAGCATGGTCATGCCGCAATCCCTTCTCCTCCATTCTCCTCTCGGGATCTTGGGCGCACACGCGCCCAGCGTGAGTTTTAAGCCACCGGGTCCGGGACAAGAACTGCGGTCGACTACGTGGGAGTCCAGCGACATAGCCATTACGCTAACTGCTGGTTCCCCCATGAGGAGATTTTCATAAGAATTCAATCAGTTTCCTAATCATAGGACAAAAGAACAGGCATGTACTGGGTCTGAAAATGTGGGGAGAGGACCCTGAATGTCTAGAAAGTCAAAGAACTCAGTTAATAAATCACCACCACACTTTGATCACCTCAGTTAAAATGGAGTTCCCAGGAAGCTGATAAATTTCTAGTTAACTATGCCAAGAAGAATAACATTTTAGTTTGAAAATGTATCAGTTGGCTGGTCAATCAGCCTACTGACTGAAGGAGTTAGAGTCACACCACCAGTCATGGTGGGCTTTCTGGCCCTGGTGGCTTGAAAAACACACCAAGCACATGTGTGTGTATATGCCCCAAATCCCAAAAGGATGGGGAAATGGAGGAGACAGGATTGCAGCATGCTGATGCCCCACTGGGGGGTATTTTCTCCCTATCTATCTCCTAGGAGTGCATGAGTCCTGTGGCAACTGAAAACAAATGAAAAAAAAGAAGAGAAAGAAAATATACTATATATGTGACACTTCAACAACGATGTATCAAGTTTTCAATTTAAGCACAACACAAGAAAGTATTATTTAAGATGAAAAGTAACTGAACCTAAGGCAAGGTAAAAGAATAAGAACTAAATAGAGAACACAAGCGAAAGTGAGATGATCCCTGATTATCCCCGTCACACTGATGGAACCGTAGTCGTTTGGAACACAGTTTAAAATCTTGAAGTAAGCCCTAAGGGAATCTCAACTAATTACAGTTTATGCACTAACACTCTTATAGTTAGACCCTTGAATAATTACCTCTAGCAACTGTGTAATTTTTACTTTAAATAGTACTATGATGGCTGATTATTCCACATAAAATCATAAAGCAATGACAACTGGAAACAACATCAAAGTAACTGACAATCAGAAGAAAAATCAATGACCTCCACAGAAACAAAAGGCAAAGAACAGAAAAGTATGTAATTCGACCTGTCCCCAACTTAGGGGATATTTGTTCAAGCTGTCTCATATAATTCAACACCAAAACAAAGACATAATAGCTTAGGACAACTAATGATAATAAAGGTAATCAAAGGCTAGTTTAATATTCTAAAGATAACATTTCAAGAACTCTATGCCAAGAATTGCGCTATGAACTAGGAACATAGAGGTGAACAAAATATATACCAACTTTAGGATCAACAAATTAGGTCTACTTTGTGATTTCAGGGTATACTAAAAAATCCTGTTATCATCATTCTTGAAATTTTTTCATAATTAGATATAAAACCCTTAAATTAAAAGTTAAAATTTTTTTACTTAATATGTTAATGGTAACATTTTTTCATAAGAATTCAATCAGTTTCCTAATCATAGGACGAAAGAACAGGCATGTACTGGGTCTGAAAATGTGTGAAGACAACCCTGTATGTCTAGAAAGTCAAAGAACTCAGTTAATAATCTTGTCAGACAATCCTGTTCACCTCCAATGGACAAAGATATGTAAATATTATATTGGAGGAATTGTTATTACATGACCACAAATGAAATTATTTTAATTTGGCAATATTACAACAAAAAAAGCAACAAGTCTTTATGGGCACATGTGCCCATAAACAAAGGAACAGATAAGAAGCACAACTATTAACATTATGAATGTACTTATGTAAAAAATAGAGAACTATATAATTTAATAAGAATTTCATTGGAAAGTCAACATTTCAAGGATATGTTATTATAACAGTAAATTTCAATTATGTTACGTTCAACTCTGTGGGATATTCTATATCTCTTGCTAATCACAAAACTATTAAGTAATGAAAAATAAAGCAGAGGTCAGGTTTATACTTGAGTTTATAAATTAATACTAGTTACATAAATACCTTATTTTTGGACTACTATGCTTGAAGAACTGTAAAAATTTGGGAATCATGATGTTGAGAGGACGATCTAAAACATCGCTATCTAAAATCTCAGCAGAATCTTCACATATCTTCTGAAGGGCACCAAATGCTCCCTGTAAAGGACATATATTTAAATTGTTAGAATTCACTAAAAACAAAGTCAATTGGTTCTAGGTTTTTTTTTTTACCCTTGCAGGGTCAAAAGGTACCTCAGTATAAGATTGCAAGTAGATAATTAGGGGGCAAAAGTCAGTTACTGATCGTTTTTCTATTTTCATCTGCGTGCGAATTTTTAGCATACAGACAAGTATGTAAAGCATTAAATACAAGCCAAAGTTCCAGCAGTTCAACCTTTTAACAATTATAAAAGAAACTATGGAAATGCTCTGGATGAGACCAGGATTTAGATTATTTAAAAACAAGTACATTTCTTATTGATGCTAACTACATTGTGTTTATAGCATTTTTATCATACAGTAGATTCCATCCACTCACTATGTATAAATTTTTTTTAAGAAAGATTTTCGCTATAAGGTGCATGTGCTCACCAGAGACAGAAAGTGAGAAATCATCCCCCTGGGGGATGGTCACAAGGCAATCCCTTCTCCTTCATTCTCCTCTCAGGATCTTGGGCATGCATGCACATGTGCCCAGCCTGAATTTTTAAGTCACCAGGTCTGGGACTGGAACCGCAATGGAGGACGTGGAAATCCAGCGATGTAACTATTATGCCATCTGCTGGTCCCTATTTAGATGCCTTTTTCTTTTTTTTGGAGAGGTTTTTGCTACAGAATGCATGCACTCGCCATAAAGGCAGGGAGAAATAGACAGAAAGCGAGAAATCACCCCCCAGGGGGTATGGCCACACTGCAATCCCTTCTCCTCCATTCTTCTCTTGGGATCTTGAACATGCACACACATGCGCCTGGTATGAGTTTAAGCCACTGGGCCCAGGACTTGAACCATGATCGGCTATATGGGAATCCAGTGACACAGCCATTACGCCAACTGCTGGTCCCTAGATGCTTTTTAATACATGTCTTCTGTGTCGTTCCTTTAAGTTTGCTACCGAAATACATTAAACTATAAAAAAACTTCAACCCCCATCCACGCTGTCCAAAGCCCAAAGTCAGTAAAATGAAGGGCTAGAAGGTGGTGTAGCAGTAATGCAAATGGACACACACGGGAAGGTCCTGAGCCTCCCTGCACACACAGGGCATGTGCAGAAGTGCCCATGATTCAGGCTGGCTGAGGCGAGGGATCTGTAATTCCTATCAGAAATGATAAGAAATCTACCGATTCTTTTTGGTCTCTGTATGAAATGGCTGTGGATTTCATCAGTGGCAAAACAAACAAACAAACAAAAACAAGAAATCAGAGTTTATGTGTGGTTAAAACTAGACAAAGTTAGACATCTTAGAAACATACTATTGAGTCATCGGGAAAGTCATGACACATTTTTGCATAGAAAAACAGAAAAGTACATCCTTTTCTAACAAACTGACACAAGAAACACAGAACTTTTAGAAGCTAAAAGAATATTCATGGTTTGGGATTTAGTAAATTTCAGTCTATCTTTAAGAAAATTAATCATATGACTCGATAAGCTTGAGGGCAGCTCTGGTTACTACTTATATACATTCATCTAATTTTAGATAGAAAAATAAGATATTCTCTTTAGGAAAGAAATTTTATAATTGAACAGTCTGTAGAAAACAGTAAAGTAAATGGTCACAAATGTAAAGCACAAAGGTAACGTTAGGCATCTAAGTTTTGAAATTTTATGTTTCAGACAAAATATTTTCCTCAAAGGTTAATACAAAGTATTACAAAACAAAACAAACAAACTTCCAAAACAAAAATCATAAATAAAGCAAAGGTCCTTACTTCACAGGTGTTGTAATCTTCAGAATCCAACAAGCTACACAGTTTTGGTAAGAGGTCAGGCCAATTCTGCAATTCTCCCTTGGAGGCTATGGTTGTAATCAAAATACCTTGAAAGAAAACACATACCTTTAGGCAGTTCAACTGCACTGTACTAGGTAGTGTCATGTGAACAACTATGAGTACCATGTGTATATGAGTGTATACAGACCCGCTTTTTATTTTTGCTATAGGGTGCTTGTGCTTGGGGAGAGACAAAGCACCCCTCAGTGGGAATTGTCATACCATGATTCCTTCCCCTTCTTTCTCTTCTTGAGATCTGGGTACACATGTGCATACACCCAGCACGTTTTCAAACCACCAGCCCAAGATTCAAACTGTACAGTCAGCTATGTGAGATCTAGCCACCTTAAGCACCATGCCACTGACAGGTCCTGCACATACTTTTAAATGTCCCCAATCAGCCTGAGATTTTCAAACCCTATAAAAAATAACATTTGTCAATGATATTCATAAGCACCATAACATAGCTGTGGAAAAGCCACAGCTTAAACTAGTGTTTCTAATCTTGTTCCCTAACACATCATCCTTGTTAAATTTTAATTATTTACCAAGCATCCGTACAAAACACTGCAACTTGCTTTTCAACAATATCAAAACTGATTCCGCTAATTAACATTAACTCCAATTTTGTAAAAATGACAAAGGAGCAGAAAGAAGATGTAAAAAAAGTTAGAAGCTTATCACTGGGTGACAAATTTATGAGACTATTAGGTTCAAATAATAAAAGATGCATTAAGAAGCTAAGAATGACTCCCTAATATAGCTTGGAATCACAGCCAAGGACCAAGACAGTAAAATGAGCATCACTTGAGGACACTCCCACATGTTTGCTCTATTTCCAAAATTCATTCATGGCTACCCATCCCTTATAAGAGTTCCCACTTAGTGAATTAAGGATGAGTTGTGGGACCAGCAGATAGCATAATGGCTATGTCGCTGGACTCCCACATAGTCAACAGCGGTTCGCGTCCCGGACCCGGTGGCTTAAAACTCACACCGGGTGCGTGCGTGCCCAAGATCCCGAGAGGAGAACAGAGGAGAACGGATTGTGGCGTGGCCATCCCCCCGGGGGGTGATTTCTCACTTTCTGTCTCTGTCTGTCTGGCGAGTGCACGTGCCCTATAGCAAAAACTTCTCCAAAAAAAAAAAAAGATGAGTTGCCCAAAAGATGACCTTGATCAGTGGTGCATGCTGATCATGTAGTTTCTCACTACGTTATTTCAGGTGTGTTGTGTTAGTCAATGAATTATGCATATACACAAAAAAATGTAGCACAAAAGCTTTGTGTTAACAGAAAAATTGATAATACAAAGTTTTGTGTTGACATTTTCTCACCTTAGTAAATGTATTGCTGGGTTGTTGGGAAAGTTGTGACACATTTTTACACAGAAAAACAGAGCAACAGGTCATGACTTTCCTGATAACCTGATATCAATTTAATGTATATAATATGCCTGGCAACTGGATCTTTCTGAACCAAGAGTATAAATTCTGACATAAGGCAAATTATACGTAGTCTACGCAGTAAAATATTAATTAATCGGGAGCAGCAGTAAGCATAATGGCTATGTTGCTGGACTCTCATGTAGTCGACTGCGGCTTGAGTCCCAGACCCAATGGCTTAAACTCACACTGGGCGCGTGTGTGTGCACGCCCAAGATCCTGAGAGGAGAATGGAGAAGGGATTGCAGTGTGGCCACCACACCCCCGGGGGGGGGATGGGGGATTTCTCGCTTTCTGTTCCTCTCTGTCTTTCTGGCAAGCGCACATGCCCTATAGCAAAAATCTCTCAAAAACAAAACAAAACAAAAACAAAAAAACCTGCAACTACTAATTAATCTACAGAAATGAAAGTACTCAGGACTCATAGGGTTATTCTGAAAATTCTGCAAAACTGGCATCTAGTAAATAAGCAATGATTATTACGGAACAGCAAATTCTATTGTTTGTGCATTTAAGAGTTCAGTTTGAATTTTCCACCTCTAGTTTTGAGAAAGCTGTTCCCAATGGTAAGGAGAAAAATAGCTATTGAGACTAAAGCTGTTGGCAAATATTTACTCTCAAAAAAAAAAAAAAAAAGAAAAAAAAAAAGATGATCAATGTATTCACAATATATTTTTTAAAAGTATTTATTTATCTATTTATTTTTTTGTGTGTGATTTTTCAAGCATCTCGGTCTGGGAATAGAACTATAGTCAGCCATATGAGAATCCAGCACCTTAATTATCACAGCACCTGCTGGCCCCGACAGTATTTTTAAGATTTAATTCTTCACGTCATCTTTGCAAAAGGGCTAAGAATTAATAAGATATAAATAAACTCTCAAAAGAGCATGATGTAATCCCTCTTGCCTATTATTCTTCTAAAATATGAAAGTGAGGCAAAAAGAAAGATTTGAATCTGTCTACAAGAAATCAAGTGTGTCAATAATTAATAACATTAAAAAAGTCTATAATTTGGTATTGACAACTAATATTCATTACTTCTAGTAGGCAAGCATTAAAGAATATTGGCAGATGGACAAATTCCAAACTTATCTTGCCCCATAATCTCATCTACTCCCAAAAAATATTCTAATACTTAGCATAGTTGCAAAAGGTGAAAAGTCAAAGATAATCCCTAGTGTTTACTGCCAACAGAAAAAATGAAAATCAGTATGCTTTGAATCACCTATTAAAATGCTAAGTGACTGAACAACAGACTTTTACCCCATGTTTTTTCTACAAAGGAATCCTAAGAATCTCTCCCTCAAGTACACAAACATATGTCAAAGGATATTAACTAAAATAGTAAAATTACAAATCATGTATGTATACCATAGGGTCATCCAAAAGTTATAACATTTTTTTTATGCAAAAAAATGGGTCATCACTTTATGATGACTCAGTATTTTAAATGCTCATGAGAGAGAAGAGGCGAAAAGAGAAGGGAGTCAGAGAGACACAGGGACAAAGTACTCCCCAGTGGGGTGTGGTCACACTTAATCCCTTCTCCTCCATCCTGTCATGATTTTGGGCGCACACGTACAAGCACCCAGCATGTTTCTCAAGCTGCCTGAGCCAGGACTCAAACTGTGGAGGTTCATGTAGGATCCAGCTTCCTTAACTATCAGGCTACAGGCTAGCCCCAGTCCATACATATATTGTTTTTTTAAGGGAAATTTTTTTGCTATAGGATGTGTGAGCTCGCTGGAGAGAGAGAGAGAAAGTGAGAGTGTGAGAGAGAGAGGGAGAGAGAGAGAGAGAGAGAGAGAAATCACCCCCTTGGGGGAATGGTCATATCACAATCCCTTCTTCACTCTCCTCTAGGGATTTTGGGCACACACACATATATACCCAGCATGAGTTTCAAGCCTCTGAATCTGGAACTCGAACTGTGGTCACCCATATGGGAGTTCAGTGACCTAACCACTAAGTCATCTGCTGGTCCTGGGTCCATACAGTCTCTAATAAGAGAAACAACCTTACATTCATCCAATGAATTACTATATAGTCATTAAAATGTGACTCCATATATA